CCACCTGCAAGCAAGGATGAGTGCTTTTCCTTGACTCACCACCCCTGCTACAAATTTCTCCCATGCAAGTGAGGCTGACGACTCTTGCTGCACTCCTTGCACCGCCTGGGACATGCAGATCTGGTCGAGCTGCTGAGGCTGTCTCTGGACTGCCAACTGTACGTGTCATTGGAGCCTTAGACACCAGTGCACATCCCGAAAGTTAGTTCCAAAGAAACATCACACCCGAGTGTGAATTCGACTGCGGTGGCTACACAATTCCTACGTTGGGCTTCGCTGGTTTGCTCACGGAAAAACTTGAACCTCAAACATGTTGATCTGTGGGTCCCAGGTGCTTGTTCGACTGAGTGCACTGATTTCTGTGCTGGTCGCAGACTCCAACGTGCCCTCTCTCTTCCTCGGCTGACAGGCTGTATGCCTGTAGTGAAGGCGTGCATAACCATTTCAATGATGTTTGCTACAGCGTTCCCTAAATTTAGGGTTTAAGGCCGGTTTAGGCCATGCAGGAAAATGGTTTCAGGTCATCCGCACTTCTTACAGCAAGGCAATCCTGATTTGGCACATGCTGAATGAAGCTTTGCCCTGGCTTGCCCTCCCCTAGTCACTTGCCCAGGAAGCCATTCGGCATCCTATTCGTCAGATGAATAGTCAGACATGCGACGTGCCCACTGGTTCACTGGAGCATGGGGATTATCTGGAACCTGTCACACACAGTCCAAACCTGGAACTGTCCAATCATGAGCCCTCAATCTGCACCCCCGACCCTAGCCCGGCACCCCATCTCTGCGATAGACTAGCCTGACACATTTCACCTCCAAATACATAATATGTCATAGACACATATATCCTGTCCAGATGCCATGCGTGCCCGCCCTGTGCACACAGTGTTTGTTTTGGAGGGGCTCATGCCACACGTTCTTCAAAGTCCCTGTCGCTGTGTGTCTGGGTGCATGTTCCAGCGTTCAAGTGCCCAGTGCACAGGGTCTATAGGTCTACAGCATACACCAGGGAGCGCAAAGCTGAGTATGATCGGCACTCTCAGGGCTTGGAGTCATGATTCTGAATGAGAGACAGGAGGTCTACTGCTCCACAAGCACCTCTCAGGGCTTTGCCAGTGTGGGTCAAATGCTCAGGCTCAGGGCCTCGAGTTCAGAAAAACACTATTCAGGTTGATCTTGTACCCGGTGCCTTAAAAGAACGGCACTGTGCTTAACGCAGCCAGCCACTACCAGCATCTTTACAAGAGTGATCTGTAAATGATTCTCCGGAGCCATGCTGCCACAGCATGTCAGCTCGGGATCAGATCTGGAAGTGTGCATTTAGATCCCTGCTTGTGTAGCCCAGTTTCACTTTGGACCTGGCAAACCGTGGAACGGGTGGATTCCTGAGTTGCGGATGCCGAGCTAGGAAAATAGTAGGACGTAGAGGTTTGGGCAGGGGCGACGGGGTTCGGAGCTAGGTCCAGAATTGTCTACAAAAACACGAAAATTCCAAACAAACGTCAAGGGTAGCAGGCAACTTTTGGGACCCAGATTCTCCGGAGGACGTGTGGTGTCTGCGCATGGCATGGGCGGAGACATCATCTGGAGAAGTTCTACAAGGCACTTCGCTTGGAAGCTAAAATTGCTGCAAGCGAGCACGCCGATGCAACTCATAATCAACCCGGGGCTTGACCTAATTTATCCGGCGCGACTGACAAGCCGGCTAAGTGTACCGGATGGAACTGACAAGTAGAACTGCTTGTGTCATCTCAGTTGCTCCCGCACTCGAAAGAAGTCTTCACCCCACGTCTAGGCCTTGCAACTTTTATGTCTTACTACTGCGCTTGAGGTACCTGCCCAAAGCGTGGTCAAAATCTACGGTGCTCAGCGTATCGTTTCTCTAAAGTTAACCTGCACGCGCAAGATTCTGTGGCTTGCTTTCGGCCGAAGGCCTCTTATTGCTAAACTTCAAAATAGACCAAGCATATGCTTTTGGTTGCAGGAGTACGATGAGGAACACCTCGGCTATTCTCCACGCGGTCTTAATGGACGCCTAGTAACTCAAAACCCCGAAGCAGAAACCCTGACAAGCATACTTTCAGCCCTGGACCAAGAATCTTCAAAGCAGTCTGGTTCAGCACTTGGCATCATCCCCCTAACCCTTCACTGCCCTTTTGGCCTTGCAAGCTGCTTATAACTTTGCCCCCTTGGCAGAGCTGATGGTCGCCTTGGTTGAAAGGCATGGGGAAAAGGAAGTGAGAAGTGTGACCTGCATGCTTTCTAGCGCGATCTGGCCTCGTCCTCCGCAGCGAAGCTTGCCTGGCAGGCACCATCTGGTGCGGCTGATTGCGGGACTTTCCTTTCCATGCCTCCAAAACTTGTATGGGCTCAGTCAGGGTCACACCTCTTGCGCTCATGCTCTTGGCCCAGATCATCCTCCTCAATTTCCCCTACAACATCGGACACCAGGGCCTGGCAGTTGAAGCTCAAAAGCCTCATCGCCGCGGGCGCCGCACGCCCTTGCCATCCAGCAGTCGTGGAGTATGATGAAAAAAACTTCCAGCTTCGTGACAGATACCATGAAGGTTAGTAGGCAATCTGGTTTCAGAGAAGGGAAGCTACGGAAACAACAGTAAAACATGAGAACGCCAGAATGCAGCTTGTTTTGCCAAACACTCTTGGCACATCGGAACCTTGCCTTTGCACTCAAAGAACACCTTGCCGCTTCTATCGAAGCGCAAACCTAAGACTTACCCAAGCTCCACGCTGGAAGCCAGTAGCCCATTGACCCCAGGTAGCGCAAAATAGGGTGCATGCACCTGCACCCGCACCAAAGGAAGACGCTCCAAGCTGGTCCGGGTCGTAAACCGCACCTCTGAAAGAAAGGGCACAGGGTTTACTGGCTTTTGGCTTCATAGCGGATTAAAAAAAAAACTGCTGCCTGACTACGCAGCAATGATGTTGAGACAGGCTTTGCATAGCAAATTGCTATGCACTGGTCTTGCGATCTCTCGATGCCAGGAGCCTGAAGGTTCGAAAGCCTGCAAAACTGATGGCATGTCTTGCTCTGGACTTGCTGTGCTTCGAAAGGTATAGTATGAGGGGCAACGGTGCAGGCATGCCAATTCGGCTAATCGGCTCAATGGCCTGGGGGTCCTGTTTTCTTGAGTAGAAGTAGATCCATGATGTTAAGGCAACTGTTAAGGTGACGGCAATCTCGTGCTGAGCCTTGCAGCCTTGCCTTAGCAGACTTCACTATGCTCCGGAACGTTGCAGGATGACCTCTCGAGATTCAAGAGGTCTCAAACCTGAACCCTCCAAATCCACTTTGAACACGTCCGATGCAAGAGGACCCCTGCCGATACCTCGAGCTGCTCGCGGATAGCTTCAGCGAAGGAGCCTTCTGAGGTCTGGTTCAGGGTCACGTCAAATTGAAAGCCAACAAGACTCACGCCTTATTTGTTGGAAGATTCCATACCGCACCAGACAGACCACGCCCTGAATGCACCGTAAATACCATAAACATCTGCGAACCTAGCCCAATGCGCAAGAGCCGGAGTCCCGATGTCCTCTTTCGGCTTCAGCTCTGGCTTTCTGGAGCCTAGGAATTCATGAGGGTTGCCTCACTGGCAATCTGGAAAGTGCGTTCTGAATTTACAAAGAGTTAAACGACATGTTCTCAATTCAACTTCTCGTGTGCTGCATTGCTGGCTGCAGCTCGCAGCTCCACCCCAGCCTTGGCCCAGAACCTCCTGGGCTGAGGCTTCCCCTTCTCAGCCATAGAGTACTTTTGAACCGAAGAACAGAACTCTTCTGAACATAGCCATGGCAGAACAGCATGTACTTACCCTCTGAGATGATTCCACCAAGCAGCTCCGGAAATTTTGCCGTCCGGTGTCATAGAGGTGGACCTGTCATCAAATTGTGATGTTCAGGAGGCCGCACAATCTTTGCGCCTATTGGATTTCGGCACATCTCCAGAAGTGCTGACCAGGATCCATGGACCACCATGCCGTTCCCAATACGTTCCAGAACGATTCAAATCCAAAGATTTCATGCAGCGTAACAACTTGAATCCTGTTGTGTAATCAATGCAAACATGGGGGACACTGCGCTTTCCACCCAGCAAACCTTCAGTTGGTAGTGCTCTCTTTCTGCAGGCACATGCGATCTTTGCAAAAAGGTAATGGGCATCTGGTAGCAAATTGCAATCAGCCCATGCTTAGCCATCGTGAAAGCCGGGCAGCATCAATACACTCGCCTATCTCCAAAAGACACTTTGGCGAGGACAGCTCGTGGGCAAGTCCCAGGCTGCACACCTTTCCTTGAGACCCAAGCCTGAAACATCCCGACCCACATTCAATGTTTAAGTCCAGCGGCATGCCTGCAGGCCAGGAAGTGCCTCAGCCAGTGCAGACAAAGCCTCGCAGACCTGATTATCGAGGGAAAACTCTGAGACTGGCAACTTGAGGGCTAAGTGCGACAGGGGACTTGGCGGCAGGTACTAAAGTTCTGGAAAATCAGCACCCCACACCTTCTGAACATGGGAGTCTTACACTGTCAAGCATGGCGTCAACAAGCGCAAGTGAGCTTTTGGGGACGTTGAGGGCCAGGGTTTTTTGAAAACTCGGGTTGCCAAAGCCATACGACAATTGGAGAATTTGGGTTCGACTGGGACCAGAATTTTCAACAATGCTCTTGATGCTTCTGGGCCTGGGATGGATCGATTGGCAAGAAAGCGTAATCAAGGCCTCTGGACGGGCGTACTCCTGCAATTGTACTAGTCTTGTGCTGCGTCCCAGAGGGAACTTTGAACTTTGCTTCTTGCGATGACATTCTCATTGTAATTGTGCAGGCATGCATTCTGAGACGCCGTGCAGTTTCTTAACGCTCAGGCGCGAGAGTCTCAGCCCGTCTCCGAGAGGCTGCAAGCATTGGGTAAAACAAGTATGCACATGTAGGATCTCCTGATATTCGCTTAGAACCTAGCAGGATAACACGATTTTGGAATGCTTGCGCCTAAACTGAAACATTGTGACTGCGCAGGTACTTAATCTCCGAGCCGTTTGCTTTGAAAGCAGAGATAACTTCGCGATAGTACTCACCTTATTTGCTGGTGTGGATTCCAGATAGAGTTGCCTAAGCCACATACTACTATACTGTAGCAGCATAGGATGCAACACCAACGCACAAACTAACATGCTTGTGCTGGAGCATCATGATCCCAAGCGACTGATTTGCGCAATAGCAGGGCAATCCCTCTTGGTGTTGCATTCCTGGTACTCCAGGCAGCGCTTCCTTGCCGAGGCGAATATCTTGAATTCTTCCTCCTTGAGGACGTCGTAGAAGATGTAACCTCGGTTTGCCAGTTTGCATTCGCTGTAAAGCCGTGGAGACGGTATTTGGCTTATCCTGAAAAGCAAAGGATCTCTACACCGAGATGCGTGGGTCGTCTGGCAGAAGTTCGCACCAAGGCATTGGAATAGGCATCGGTGGCAACCCGGCATAGATGGTGGTCGCATAGCTCAAGAAACCAGCCCACCAGCCAAATGTGCTGCAGGAGAGCACCTCAGCCAACAGATCAATGTCCTATGCAGAGTTTACCTGCTTGGCTTTTTGGCAGAGGTGAGTTCAAGTGCCTAGAGACTGTGGACCAAGGCTGGCAGCCTGGCGTTGAGATCCCGAGGCGAGTTCTTCTTGTGCCATTTTTTGGTCGGCCGGGTCTCTTTCGCAGTGCTGGTGCGAGTCCTGTCATGGGTCCCCCCCAATCGGAGATGGCAGAAAGGGAGGCTCTGCGGGGGTTCTCGCGTTGGCGATTAAATTACCCCTGGCCCAGTGGCTATGTGGGAAGCAGAACGAACCCAGGTAAAGTCACCAAGCCAAGGAATCTCTGCATCGTTCATAGCTTCGAAGAGCTCAGCACCCAGCTCTGTCTTGATACCTGTTCACCCTCTCTCAGAAATCTGGACCCAATTATGCAATCTATGGATGAGAAGGGAAAGTTCTGAGCAGGAAGTCCGTGCTCTACAGGTATTTGGCCATCCCGACACATAGTCTGCCCTCAAACTCCACCCGTGTTCTCAGCTCAAAAAGGGGAACAAGCGAGAATTGGATCCATCAAGACCCCTCAACAATCCAGGATGCTCAGAAGTGTTGGGTGAGCGCGATACTCCGGGGCAGACACGAGCCAGATCTTTGCCGACTGCGATACCTTGCCATACTTTGGACTTCCAAGCAAATCTTGAATGCAGATGTGCAGCGAAGAAATCCAACAACAAGGCATGCAGGAGGGGAGTTCGAGCTTGGATTATATGCGATCATTGTGTTTGAAGTCTCTTCTTGCCCGTGCCAGGAAAGCTCGAGGCCCTGATGACTTCTGCAGACTGCAGGCCCGTCCGAGCCGTACAGGTCTGCGCAGCAGTGCAACAGCGCACGAAACATCTCGCCTGACTTGAGGGTACCGTACCTATTTGTTTGTGGAGCTGAGCTGGCCGCAACAGCCGACTCAGTCGATGTTATGCCTGCTCCAAGTCTTACGTAATTAAACTGCTCCGCCAGTGGCCAAGTCACAACTCTGCGGTGATGTTGCGCTGCCCACCGGTAATACGCTAATGGCATATGTCCAACTCTCATCTGCATGTGCCAAACATCGAAGAAGCTGCGATCAAAGAAGGAGCGGAAATAAATGACCAAATCCGTGCTCGAAGGCAGCGGAGCTGGTGGCTCTTGCGGAACTGGTGCCCAGAACATCTGCCGGAAAATCGGCAGCCACTCCACCGCAGGTTTTTTCCCCCACTCACGTATATTCTGGTGGTAGCCAACTCCGATATACCTTAGCCGAAGGCAACCCAAGAGAAAATATGCGTGCGGCGGCATGAGCTTAGGCATCAATACTGAAAACATACAAATCAGAGCGAGGCCAGCATGCTGTATTTTCCTCGTGCTCTTCAGATGTTGAAGGCACCCTGCTCCTTCGCCACAGCTCTGGTTGCGATCCTGCCAGATCATATCTTCTTGGCAACCTGTGCACAACTTTCCAATGTGGCGGCTCGATCGGATGCAAGGCAATTTGTGGATCTGCTTTTTGCCTTCGCTGCTCCCTCCCACATTGCACTTGCAAAGTTGAGCTGTTTTTTATTACGTGAGCTTTCATCTCGAAAAAGGTCCCGGGATGGTGGACGTGGAGGGCTGAAACACGAGAAGTTTCGGTGAGTGGCAGGGAATGAAGCATGTATAAACAGTAAACATGTATAGACGGTAGATGCCCTCTTCTCGGTAGTAAGAGGCAACTGTGCAGGGGCCAGTCCCGCTGTGCCCTGCTAAACCTGCGAACCCCGAGACCGCTGGGTCTTATCCCAAACTGTGCAAAGCTTCTGATCGGCGGCGGAAATATGATGGGCTTTCCAGAGTTCATTGCAAGGGCAATCGACACGGCAGCAGTGAAGAGCTGATTTCCAAATCCTGGGTTTGCTGCTTGACATATCTTGACATGTCTGGCACCAACATGACAAGACCTCAATACAACCTTGGAAACGCCAAAAAAACAAACACCGTCAAGTTGGCGATGGTTTTGGGTGGCCAATGGCCGCGTTCAAGACCATGAATGTTGCGGTTGTGGTGGAGGCTGCGGCCGCTGAGGCTGATGTTGTGCGGTTGGTGTTGTTGGTGCCATGGCTGTTGCCGTTTTGGCGCTGCCTGAGGTGTGCTGGCGCTCCTTTGTTGTGGCATGGTCGTTGTTGCTGTCGCAGTGAAGTGTTGGTGTTGCTACTTCGGTTGTTACTTGTGCCCTCCTCCTCCTCCTCCTCTTCCTCGTCCTCAGCTGTCTTTCTTGTTCTTGATTGTTGTTGCTCTGGTTCTTGGTGCCCATGCAGTGCTCACGCACTGCGATGCCGCCACATGCTTCCTGATAGGCCTGCACGGCACGAACAGCTCCTGCAACAAGCCCAACTTTATTGCTGCCTGCAGTATTCGTGTGCTTTTCTTTGTTTTTCTCGCGCATGCCATCAGTGCATCCATGACCAAAGCAAAATAACTGCCAGTTCCAAGTGGCAGTGCTTACCAGCCCATCCATGCCCAAACCATAGTTAATAACAACAATCTGGTGTTCCAAGTGCACGCGCTCACCCGAGAATCATGCCGAAGGTGATTGTGGTTGTTCTTGTCATGATCGACGTTCGCAACGATCGTGGGTGTGTTGCGGTTGTCTTTTGTCTTTTTTTATGCTCTTCTTTTGATTCTTCTTTTTCTTCTTGCTCCTGGCGCTGAACGTGTCGGCTGCTGCTGCTGCCGTTGCTGCTGTCGCTGCAGCTGCTGCTTGCGTTGCCGGTGTTGCAGCTGCAGGGCCAGTGGCTGCTGGGCTACTAATTATATGGAAGCCCATATGGAGCGTAGTGCTAAAAGAAGAAGGCTTGGGAACATGCTGGAATTCAAATGCCTCCAGGACCATCAAGGGTGTTAAATGCACCATGATCCCACCTCGAGCACCCACTCGACAAAAACAAGAATTTCGACAGGCCAGAAAACGCTGAGTCCAGCACCAGACTGCGGGCAGCGTGCCCCCAGCACGAATTGACAGAGAGGATGGAGGTTCCAATGATGTTTGTTTTGTGCGAGGTTGCTGTCTTTACTAGCTGCAAGCTTGCGCCCAAGTTTCTGGCACCGCGATGACCTCCTTGCCACTCCAAGTTGACTGCGCCAACAAGAGCCGCTTCATTCCTAGTTTTGCAACTACGCTTCTACTTGTGTGGGTCGCGGGTGTTGTGTTAGGATAAAGCAGTTGCTGTGAGCTTCCCACAGATGCGACTACGAGTAAAGCCAAGAATGAGGCCATGAATTACCACTCCCATCAGATGGCAGGCTCCACTGTTGTGAAATCTAATGGAAACTTTGAGCCCAAACCGAGGATGTCCCCTTTGTTGGTAAACATTTGAAGCCCGGCAACCGTTGGCGTGAACAGAATCTAAACCATAGGGTCGAGAAATTGTTTGATACTTGAAGAAGGGTTCCAGTCATCAATTGGAAGGTGGCCACAGGGTAAGTCGTCTTCTGCAGGTGGAGCCTCAGTGCAGTGCCAATCCAAGACAGAAGGCCATGTAGACTCATTGCCAAAAGCTCCCTCCTGGCCACGCCAGGCACAAAATACAAAGCACTGGTAAGTCTGATTGCAACATGCAAGACACATTTGCGCGCTAGACCGGGTTCCGGAAGAAAAGAAGTCCTACATTCTCATCGCAAGCTGACCATTTGGCACCCTGACATTCTTTTGAGCCCGAAAAAGAGCGACTAAGTGCTCCGACAACTGCAGTAAGCCCAGCAACATTTGTGCCAGTGTTCAACGGAGCCTGGGCTCTACTGTGTAAAATGTAAAACACTTCTTCAATATTATATGCGAAGCTGCCAAACACCCAAGTGGAATCAGAGGTCGCCTATTCTCTGGCTTAGAGTTCAGGAGCGGGAGGCCCATTTGGCTTTTCAAAGGATGAGTTTGGATTTGTGGACGCATACTGTAAGTTGAGATAAATGCCTCTATATAAGAGAAAATGACTTGCAAAAATGTGTCCAAGAAATTTCTCAGCGGCCGCGCGCTCTTCTGAAACTGGGGTATTTAACTTCAGCTTGCCTCGCTGGGCTGTCCCGAAGAGCCCGCTGAGAGTTAGAAGAACCACTCCGTGCACAGCGACGATGACACCACATGCCCTAATGACCATGCGTCGAGCCAAGCAAATGTGTTCTAGCTGCGCCTGCTGAATTTTTGTGGTTGCACTTTTCAACATATTCTGAGTTCACAAACAGACCAATACGTCAGTATCCATTGCTCGGATCCGCCCTTTGCTGTATTCTGGCTGCATTCCGGCTTCTGTAAACAAAGGGAGGGCAGGGCATATGAAAACACCAGACATAGATGAAGTGTCTGCGTGTATGCGTTGTCATAGGCTGCAGGCCACGTATTGCATGCAGCTCTGTCCGACGTGATACTGAGGTCTGTTGCCCGCTTGGGCTTAAGCGTCTTTCATGAAGGCCACCATTACTCCCAATGGCGAGGACTCCGGCACATGTCACAACTAATGATGCAAAGAACAAACCCATTCTTGCTAAAGTGCCTGTTTGCTCCGTGATGTAGGCAGTGCCTGATGATGGATTTATGCGGAAGCCAATCTGGGCCCTTGATGCGCGCGCGGGCGAGCAAAGGTAAAAAGAGATGCTGCATCATGGCAACTTGCCCAAGAACCTAATCACCTAGCTCATACTCCTTTGGAATTCACAAGTGTCCTACAGCCTAAGAAGCTCCAAAGGCAACCTTTCAGTGCTGGAAAGGCCCAAGGCGCGAGAGGATGCGAAATGCGACTCTGCAGGAAAGGGTTGTCGCAGGATCCGCTGGAGTCCAAGAATGTAATTAGACCCCCCGATTGCAAAATCCAAGCTGCCCACACGCACAAGCTTGGAAGCGCCGGAAGGGCAATGTGTGCTAGTGTCAGTACTTCTATGGGCTACGACGACTAGCGCTCCAGCTCATGGACGTCGATACCTTTAATTAAGGAGGCTCCGGCCCACATCCTCAGGAGAGTGGGGGGTTCCTTATTCTGAGATGAACACTACATGGCTCATTCACCTCAAAGTCATGCAAATAATTTCTGGTGCCAATTCAAGGACAACATTTTGATAATTGGACTCTGCCCTCCGTCATGGACAGTAAATATAGCCGCGAAACCAATCAGAGGATTTTCAATAAACCACCAGCTACGCTTTCTAGAAAGCCTATTCACGTGATTGACTGAGTTTTACATGAGCACGCATCAGGAACATAACTTGACTGCACCACAGCAATGAAGGAGAAAAACCGAGGTCTTCGCCGTGCTTGCTTTTGCCTGCAGCGCGTGGTAATCAAAAAAGTAAACTACAAGCGTTGAACATGTCAGGGCTTCTTCGGGACTCTTAAACATCACGCGGCTTTCTGGCATGGAATGCCCCAAAATCTTGTCTGCAACACGAACCCCGCATCATGACAATCGACATCGTGTACATCAACGCATACTGAATCCAAGGCATGACATGTTGCAGTACAAGAAACATGAGCCTATGAGCCTGAGAGCCTGAGCTAATGGCTTCAACTTCCTCAGCCCCCACATCCAAGCCTGCGACCCATGGCAGCCTTCGTGCGGCGCGGATGCGCTTGGGCTCAGCTCGCTGCTCAGGCCCTCTCTCATGGTGACAGCCTCGGCTTCGATCGGCCCTCTGGCTTTGGATGAAATCGGGAACAAAATGAGACGTGAGAACTGGGTATGACTTCTCCCTTGTGAATGTTCTGTTTAAATCTGGAACGGGATGTGAATGCACAATCTCTAGGTTCTACGAATAGGGTCGAGTTCTTGAAGCAGGAAGAGCATTTCAAACTCTAAGTCTCTAAGTTTCTGCACTTATCAAGGCAACACTCCCGCCAGGCCAAGCACCTGAGCTGCGTGAGACAACCAGCTTGGAGACTCTTCAATTATAGTCCAAGCTGACAGCTGCATCTTTTTGTGATGGCTGGTTGCACATGCTGAGAGGGGCTCAAGGATGCGAGGGTATGTAGCTAAGCTGGGATACCTGCAGTCACTTGATGACACACCAGCCAGGACCTTCTTATCATGGGGCCCTCCGTCTCTATGCTGTGTTGAAGCTTCCCAAACTCTCCAAGAGAGCCTCCAAGCGCACTTACTGTAGGATCTGGGCCTAGCCAGCCACCACAGTAGCCGAGAAAAACATGTTGAGGATATCGGTCAGCGCATATATACGAAAGTAGACTGCGCTAGAGTGTTTGTCTTATGATGCTTGTACGGACCTGTCTGATACTTTGACAAACTTCTATGCAAACCAAGCTACCCACGTGCGGCCCAGACTTGGAGCAAAAAGATGGCGCCGCGAGGGTCATACGATCCAGTCACCACACGCCCCGGGCCCATTTTTCAATGCCCCAGCCGCCCCCTGCGTCTTGCTCAAACACTTGCCAGAAATCTGCAAAATGTGGGGTCCTACTTATTCGAGAAACCTCCTGAAGCCACCTTTGATTTGACCATAAAGCGCAAATTAGAAACTCCTGCGCCTGTGAGATTAGACCATAGCCTTGCACTTCCAAGGTCCTTTTGTGAAAGCCCTCCAAATCTCAACATCCAAATTTTGACCCGCATCTGCGGCCGATTTCAAAGCTCTGGCTTCGGCAGCAATCCATGTTCGATGGCATATCGTAGAGCTGCTGAGGGAGTGGATTGGAGAGCTCTAACCGCAAGCGTTTCAATTTTGGTTATCCGTACTGCTTTGCAAAGTGGGGTGAACCTTTGGTCTTATCTACTGCTGCACGCCTTTTTCCTGCGAATCCAGGACCAGAAGGTACATTGTGAATTGGCTTAACAGCATGTCTCAGACTACGTCCTGCAACCCCCCTGTGTGGAGTTCAGAAGGACTTGCGCCTGTGCATGCAATAACATAATGACGATGCTCAAAAACGCTTTCAAGCACCAGGATTCACATGCAGAGATCAGAAGGCCAAGCATGCGCCCAGCAAGTAAAATCGGATTTGAGGACCAAGAGCTTTGGAACTGCGTTCAGCATCCGTCTTCATTTCGGGGTGTGTTGGATGGTCATGGGACCTGAGGGTACCCCGCCACCCTCAGGGGCGCAGTCCTGCCTTTGCACAACAACTCGGCACTTCGGCATGGCGCAGGGCGGGCGCAGAGGAAGGTGAAGGGATGCGATTAAGAACACAAGGCCTTAAACTGTTCTGAAGAAGAAAAAGCTAAGCACTGATTCGTAGCATGGTGAAAGCCACGAAACTACTTGACATTGCTGGGTGCACTGCCTGGGGAACAGGCATGAGCCTTCTTTGCAGCTCAAGCCTGCCCCTGCTACGGATCTCTCCAGGGTGACCACACAGGTTTGTCAGCACCTGGCGGCTTTCTCCTGGACGACTACTTGAATTTCGCACTTAGGTTCCCATTGGAACTTGCTCGGGGAGTCATGCACGCGGCAGATCTTCACCGATGCAATCGTGTATTGCGGGTCCATGTGAGTCTTCAAACCGGGAAACTAAACGGCAGAGTTCCAACGAGTTTCTTCAGAACGATGACCTGCGACTATCGCGGATTACGTTTGATAGCGTCATGGCGTCTTCAAATCAGAGCCATAATTCTGAGTCGGCTGCTGTCCTCAACACAGATGCATTAAACGCACCCCGATCCAGTCGCCATAAAGTCCTAGTCCTAGCCGGGTCAGGAGCTCAACAACCTCGACAGCAGGCCTCAGCTTCAGATCCTGTGAGCCTCTTTTCCTACAAAGCCTCACATTGAACGGCATGCTACCTCTCATCCCTGGATGGTAAAGATGGTGGTAGCTTCGGTGCTTGTAGGTTTGTCTTTGCCAGCTTTCAGCATCTGGCTTTAGGAGGTGTGAGGCCATCTCTGGACATCTATACACCCTATGACATCAGACGGAGCAAAGGACTGGGGATCACGCAGGTAGCACGTTTGGACCGTACCTGGCACCAGAAAGCCACAATGCAACTCCGACAGTACCACGACTGGGGCAGCAAGCCTGCTTAGTGTACAGGTAGTAAGACATGCGGAGAAGCACCCACTTTGATGAATCCTTTGTAAGAGCAGTCGTCCTCTGGCATCTTCCCAAAGAATGTTGCTGGCTGTAAGCCCAAACTTGACATGTTGGACTGCCGCAGCGCGTATTTGGAACCTTGAATCAAAACTCGAGCTCTACAAAGCTTGAGAGCGGACAACTCCATGCGAAAGCGAATGTCTTGCCGCATGCAGCTGCCCTGCATCACTGGCAGTGTTGCAGTGGGTCAGGAATGGTCAGGAGGGACATCCTGTGCAACAGTGTCAGGAGCCTAGAAGTAGCCTGAAACCTGAAGAGGAGGCGGCCGCAAACCGCCTAAATCCACTCCAGGCACCCAACAATCCAGCAATATCCAGCAATCCAGCCCCGAGCCTGCCCCTCTCAGCTTGAGGACTCCGACTCCACCCGCTCAGAGCAATGTTCCTGAATAAAACAGTTCGTTCCAGCGGTGTCTGTGCATTCTGCAGTTACAGGGGTCTCAAGCAAGATTTGCGCTCGTTCCATATGGATGCACTTGGTTTCAGGGCTCGATGCTTTGCGATTTGATGATTAAATTGCAGGATGGTGGGCGCGCACATCGCCTTCCTAGCCTTGCCACTTTTCATCAGCATGGCTAAGTTCAACCTCACATGGTTCGCAAGCAGCATTGTTCACATCAAGCTCGCAGAGCGTCATGCAAGGCTGTGAGATTTGGTGTGGCCTCCGCGCACAGTGCCAACACTGAATACAATAGTTCAGCAAC